AATAAATAAAAAAATAATATTTACTGTACTGTCAAAATGGAAAAAATATTTAAACAACTATTAGCATCGCTTGCAATAATTAGCAGTTGATTGTAGGTCGTGCCATGCCCACTTATGGTAGAACCTCACATAAAACCCCAAAAATGTGGTAGTAAAATTAAAAATTTAATGACAATTTTGTTGGATTGTCTACGAATCACTCAAGTTGAGTAATTAAATTTGTATTGGGGCCCAACGTTGAAAGCGGTACGTGGAAATGAAAGAGCATTAAATGTACTTGCAGCCGGAAAAGTGCCTGAAAACCAAAGATAAGAGGCCAAACTGGATTTGCCATCAACGGCAAAAAGCAAAGGAGACAAATAAATGATCAATGATCGAGAATCGGCGATCAGTGATCAATCAAACAAAGAAACAGCGCGACAAGAGCAAAGAGGAGATTCAAGTCAATTCAATTGAGAGAAAGAACTGCATGATTTCCTTTGGATAACTGTGTAGTGATCTGTGATCTGTGATCAGCAATGTTCCTAGACTTAAACAGCTTTGGATAATACGTGGCAATGGAAATAAGTGTGTTGGATCGGCCGAGGAAACAGTGTGCAAAGCAACCCACTTAGCGGAAGCCTAACGGAGACCAGAGTGACGAGAGGGGACAGAAGGAGGAGAGAGAACGCGTACGGAAGGGAGAGAAAGTGAGAGCGGACGAAAGGAGCGTGAGAGACGCGAAAGATTTGAGCAGAGCAGCACAATACTCCTCTCTCCGTCTGCCTGTCGACGTGTTTGTCTGTGTGCGTAAGTGTGTGTGTGTGTGTGTGTGTGTGTGAGTGAGCGTAGGTGGTGTGGTGTGTGAAGCATGCGTGACGAGCTAAGCTATGCCAAGCGGCAGCCCACTGAGCATGCGAATGCGGACAGCAGCAGCTATGAACTGGACGAGCACGAGCCGACAATTAAGAATCTGACAACAGCCACAAGCAACACCAATACTAGCAGCAGCACCAGCACCAGCTACACCAGCGCCATCATCATCACCAGCAACACCAGCATCACAGCGACGACTGCAACTGCAACGCATATCAAGGACGATTCGGATGGGGGTGAACTGACGGATACGCAGAGCACGCACAGCAGCAGCTCGACGCCCACAACGGCGGATGTGGCTGACGTTGTTGCGGATGCGGATGCGGATGCAGATGGAGATGGGGATGATACCATCAGCTCGTTTTCGCCTGCAGCACAGCTTATGAAGCGGCATGCCACATCGCTCAATCGACAGCAGAAGCAGCAGCCAAGGCGAACCGATGACAGCAGCGCAGCGAGAGATGAGGATAATGTGCCAACGGTAAGGCTGGGCAAATGCCATTGGTAATGGAGATAATAATAGTAATGGTAATGGCAGATGGCATAGCTGAAGCTATAGCTGGAGCTGATGTTAGTTCTATTATCAATTGTCATGCCAATGGTAATGACAGTTATGATGATGGTAATGCCAATGGCAATGCTAATACAAGTGCATAGTCAATGCGGATGTTAAAGCAGACATAGTGTTAATGCTAATGTCAATGCCACAGCTGATGTTAGTAGTATTGGTAATAGTAATGCTAATGCTAATGCTAATGCCATTGTTAATAGTATGTGCATACCGAGAACTGAGACTATGCCAGTTGAAGCCAATGCCTATGATAATACTATTGCTTAATCCATTACCAATGCTAATGCCAATGACATTATTAATTCTAATGCCGTTGCTAATTCCTTCCTGCAGTCATCACGCTATGCGACACATCCCAGTGCAGCATTCGCAGAGACGACGGCACAGGGTGCCTCGAGATCGATTGGCGGCACACATCGACGCACCCTGTCCTCCGCCTCGTACATCTCGATGCGATCACAGCTGGGAGCGACGGGCAACGCCAATGGAGCGCCAACGGATCGACCGAAACGCAATCGTTGCTTCGAATGGATACGCGTCGCCTGCAAAATTTGCTGCTGCAAGGTTTGTGGGCTGTGGGCACAAAATTCCATTGAATTGCATTTAAATTGATCGCAAGACAAACAAATCAATTGCAGCGATTCCAATGCCAGACTCAGACCAAATTCATAATTCCCCCACGTTTGCATTATTCAGGCCGTTTCCGATTTCAGCTGGTGTCGTTTTAATAACAGACTTTGATTCCATATCTAGTGTATATTATATATACATATGTATATGCATGTATACGGGTGTATTTATAAGAACGTATCTATAAGTAATCCTAGTTTAGCGTTAAGTTTATTAATTCTAATTAACTTAAGCTGCAGTAACAGATTCAATCCGAGACTCTCTAGTTCAAATTTCGTATAATCTTTAGTTGTTTTATATATCATAACTATAATCATTAGTAGAATAAATATATAATATACAGCTAAGGTAAACCAAGTTTATAAATAAGTAAAAAGATTTATTTTTAAAAGATTTTAAAATCTAATACAATTTTATACAATTTTTACATATTTATAACCAACTATAACTATAACTAAAAATTTTATATTTCCTTTTAACTAAAATTACACCTTAATTTATATATAGTTTCATAGTCAAACTTCTCTTTAGCTATTAAAATCTAGACGAATTAAATTGCTAAACTATGGGCTTAACCCTAGCCTTACTAGCCTTATTACAACGTATTAATAATAATAGATGTAATAATAATAATTCACGAATTTCATTAGCTAATGTATATCCCTGTACAATTTATATACCCACAGAGTTCGGGCATCGGCGAGCCAAGTGTACATCATGCGCTGATTGTGATATTTTTAGAGTTCTTCGCCTGGGGTCTATTAACCATGCCCATCATATCGGTCAGTATATATGTCCAATAAAATGAAGCATTTTTAATAATAATGGTATTCAAATCTATTTTTATAGACGCTCAACCGTACATTTCCGGATCACACGTTCCTCATGAATGGCTTGGTGATGGGCATCAAGGGCATACTGTCCTTTCTGTCGGCCCCCCTGATCGGCGCTCTGTCGGACATCTGGGGTCGCAAGTTTTTCCTATTAGTTACAGTATTCTTCACCTGTATGCCCATACCGCTGATGTGCATAAACACATGGTGGTTCTTTGCCTTGATCTCAATTAGTGGCGCATTCGCTGTCACCTTTTCGGTGGTGTTCGCCTATGTGGCTGACGTGACCACACCGGAGGAACGATCCAAGGCCTATGGCCTTGCCTCGGCCACATTTGCAGCCAGTTTGGTCATTTCACCAGCGCTGGGCAATGCATTAATGGACATGTATGGCGATACCCTAGTGGTAGCGCTATCCACAGCGATTGCGGTGCTAGATGTATTCTTTATACTAGTCGCTGTGCCGGAGAGTCTGTCGGAGAAGATGCGACCGGCTTCATGGGGTGCGCCCATCAGCTGGGAGCAGGCGGATCCCTTTCTGGTAAGTGAACATCCTATAGAATAAAATATGATTATATTAAGTTTATAAAATTCTTCCTTTTTTTGTCAGGCACTACGCAAGGTCGGCACAGATAAGACTGTCTTGATGCTGTGCTTAACTGTGCTACTCTCCTATCTGCCGGAGGCTGGAGAGTACTCCTGCATGTTTGTCTACCTCAAGCTGAAAATGGGATTCAACTACGTGGAGGTATCCATTTTCATCGCCGTTGTGGGCATACTCAGCATAACGGTGCAAGTGACACTTGGATCGTTTATGAAGTGAGCTGAATATATAAGGAAGATCCCTTAGCAATTACTAATCACAGTTACCTGCATTCATTCCAGAGTCTTTGGCGCAAAGCGCACGATCATTGTGGGCCTAGCCCTGGAGCTGATTCAATTGTTGTGGTATGGTCTGGGCAGTCAGAAGTGGTAAGCAGCATGAGCAATACAATGTTTAGTTGAGCTTTAGTTAATCTTTGCTCATTTACAGGATGATGTGGTCCGCAGGCGTGGTAGCTGCCTTAGGTTCAATTACCTACCCCGCTATTAGCGCGTTTGTCTCGCTATATGCTTCGCCGGAGAGTCAAGGTTAATCACCATTGCAATAGCTGTCGTCTGTCCAGTATTTACGCCCAGTTATCTTTTGTAGGTGCCGTTCAGGGCATGATCACGGGCATGCGTGGCCTATGTAACGGCCTGGGTCCCGCTGTTTTTGGCGTCATCTTCTATCTGTTCAATGTCGACTTAAATGCCGATCATGAAGCCATTATGAATAACAGTCATCCGACGAACGTTGAGAAGATCTCAATGCATGTGCCCGGTCCACCATTCGTTTTTGGAGCCCTGTGCGTCTTCTGTGCCATTGTTGTGGCCGCATTCATACCCGAAGGTCAGCAGGCAGTGCTGGAAAAGAAACGTAAGGAAGAAGTTAATTCATAACAAACAAAAAAAAAAAAGAAAAAATAGAAAAATATCAGTAAATAAAATATCTGAATTTTTCTCAAGAAAAAAAGAAAAAAAAAATCAAAATCAATATATCAAATTGAAAAGTGCTGTATACCGATAAATCTATATACCTGAATCTGTTTACTATCTCTCTGTTTCTTCTCTCTGGATATGGATTTGCAGGTGCCTCGCTCGATGTGCAGTACGAGATCGAGACAGGGCACAAGTTGCCCAGCTCGTTGGCCCCGCTGATACGCTCCGATTCGCTGGCGCAGCTGTAGTCGGTCACGCCCATCGTCATTAATACATGATTAATAGTAACTGTAACAAATGCTGTAACTAGTGTCGCTTTAGTTTAAACATAACAAAACCAACAACCACAACAAACATTCAGTTCGATTTTCGATGCTTCTAATTTTGTTTGTATTCACATTTCTTTTTTCATGTGTGTAATGTACAATTGTTGTCATACTAATTAGTTAATTGATTACTTATGAGCTATTTATTTTAAAAGATAACTCTGCACTCATTTTGCCACTGCGTGTGCTTGCCCCAAAAATGAAAATAAAAACAAAAACTAATAATAATCTTAATAATAATAGTATAAAGAAGAGGCCTGTGTTAATTTTCACATTCAACTTTGTAACATCACAGCGACAATTTGTATTGTAGGAACAGAACAAGAAAAACGAAAAAAAAAGAAAGGAAAACAAAAACAACTGCCAAATACAAAAATAAAATACAAAGCTTATTGTTTATATAAATATATGTATATATATGTTATATATATATATATATCGGTCTATACAAATTGTTCGTATGTATTTTTTATGCTACACACAGCTCTAAACAGTTTTAATTTCTTTTAGCAGTCGAAATGAATTACAAGAAAAAATAAACTTAAAATTATAAATTAACAAATTTTTACGTATAATTACTAATTAGTATTAATTGTGTAGCAAGCTTTACTTTGCAATCTGTAGTGATCCAAAAATTCGAGAGTCGTGAATCGAGCATCAAGTGTCGCAAATGAGGGAACGAAGTCGTGCGTTTCACTTAAACTAAATATAATATAACGATAACAATAATGCTAACTGTTTAATAGCTTTTATTTTGATAAAAAGAAACAAAATACAAATTAATATTATTGTTTTTTATTGAATTAAACAAGGCTTTAGGCATCAATAATTAATAAGCCAGTGCGTAAGTAGTTGTAAAGTTCTTTTGCATGTGCTATCAAAGGTGCAAAGTTTCAACATCATGTAACATATATATATATACATATATATGAAGGCGTGAAACATCTAATGTAGACATATATATATTTTTAATTTTGAAACGCAATTAATGTGTATCGCAGTTCAATGTAAAACTGAAACCAAATTTCTAATGTAAATTATTTAACATAGACAACACGATTGTAAAGGCATAAATAAATGCCTATATAATAACTAAATGTATGTACAAATACTTTTGACGCAGTAAAAACATAAAAGGAAAAAAGTGAAGAAATACAAAAATACGAAATGATGTGAAATTAAAACTCAACCAAGAATTAAACAAAAGCAACAATTGTGTAACAAATAAAAATATGTTTTGATGAAATTCCAGATATGCCTTTTTATACAGAAATTTAAATGAATATATATTCATAATAATTATGAAGGGATCTCTAGATAAGTCAACTAAGAATAACGGTGACTCCATTCCTGTTAAAAGTATGGGTAAATAGGGATTGCTCGTTAAAAATTTTAGAGAGAGATAGTAAAGAAGTTAACGGCTAACGGATAATTTTCTTTGATAATCGGGAGCCTCATATACAACAAATATTCTTGATTTCTTCTGAATATTTCATAATTCAATTTCTTTATTTTCTTGCGAATCATTATTCATTATTTTTTGTATTACCTATGAAGTTATACTTGTAGTTTAATTAGAAGAAAATCCATAAATATCAATAGGTTGCGCGTGGCTTTGCATACATATTTCAGAGTTTTCAATAGCTAGAGTCTCGAAAAAATGTAAACAAATTAATTTTACTAAAGCAAAACATAAATATAAATTATTTGAGACTTTACTTAGAATATCTCCAGAAGTATCGACCGTCCACCACTCTACCCAAAGCAAAATGAAAATCTCACAATATAACATAACTTTAAATGTCATAAGTTGGGATCAAGTATTCTTTTGGATTAGTTTGTAGTAGTCATTGTTCGATTTTTTTGATACACTTCACTTGTTGTATAAATTACACTCCATTAAAAGTTTATATATTTGTCGCAGTTTTTAGCAATTACTATTCTGCATGTGCAGCAAAATTTTATGTGTCTCTCTCATCCCATAGATGTACGTGATTGTTAGTACCGATTCGAAAAGCAAAAAAAAATAGAAATAGAAAAATCAGTAGTAAGATTGTCGGGTAAATGGCTGCGGAGGACGATACAACGCGCCGTAAAACCAAAACGCGCTATCGTTGCTATCCAAATTTATGTATTCGCCTAATTGGCATCGTTCAAATTGTTGTTCTATATGTTCTACTGGTTGGACATGCATCGGCGGAGGATTGGCATGATACGTATGGTGGTATGGGCACCACACACGAACAGCTGGGCCAAGTTCATTATCCCGATCCCGAACTAACGCCCTACACATCAAAAGTCGAATATACTAAAGAGAAGAAGCCACACACTTGGTCTGCAACGCCCGCTTATAATATATCACAATTTCTTTTTGATTCAACGATTAACGATAAGCCACCTCTGCCAGATGGTAAGTCTGAATATAAGTATATCCATCTCTCTATCTCTTTCTCACTGTATGACGGTCAAATCAGGATATTTGACTGTAAAGAATGGCGATACCTTGGCAATGGGTAGCAAAGTTGACACAAACGATTGGAGCGATCTGTTGGCACAATATGCTTTGGTCATCTTGTGGGTGATATTCTTGTTAATTGTGATAATTGTATTACCATTTCTTGCGTAAGTCTATACACCGATTTACCTACACCTGCATTCATATATATGTATATTTATCACCTTTCACGTTTCACCTGGCAGCGTTTGTTATTGCTGTTTCTGTTGTTGCCGCCGTTGCAAACGGGGCTGTGGTCCTTGCGATGGTCCTAGGGATAAAAGAATGAGCATGATCTGCGCCGGAATACTACTGCTCTTAGTCATTCTCATTCTGTAAGTCGTCTAGAGCGCATAAATCCGGTCACTTTATTCATTATTATTCGTTTCCAGTTTGGGTGCCATTGTTGCCTTCGCTTCGAATCGCGTCTTAGATCGCGGTTTGGATGAGACATCGGAGGAAGTGAAGCGAGGCAGCCAGGACACCTGTCTCTTTTTGGAGGATATCAATGCGCATCTGAATCATATTTTTGTCTACAACTACCTGGAATTGGAGAATCATCTGCATGAATTGATGACCAGTAAGAGAGTATATTGGTTTTGTGAAATCCTTGTCTAACTTGCTTGTTCTTTTTCTACAGATGCCCATAGTCATATATTCCTTGACCTGGCTGACACATCCGAGAGCAATGCCATCGAGCAATTGGAGCGCATAATGGATAATATGGAAGAGGCGAGAACTTTAATGAGACAGGTGGACAGTTTGGAGAAGGAGCTGCGCTTCTACACATCACAGCTGAGAGATGGTAAATGCGGCTCAATTGTAAAATGATCTCATGTTTATATATTTTCTATTCCCAAGGTGTTCGCGGAGCTAAACGTGATGTGAACTATGCCTGTGGCAGTTTGGTTAACGGTCGTAAATGTAAAGACTTTTTGAGAAACTCTGAAATGGAATCGGTTGATATGTCCCCCTGTCTGCACATGGACTTTGTAAGTATATGTGTATCAAAAACTCTAGACTAGATGTTTATTCCGGCGCACATTTAAGCTGAAATTTACTTTTTGTTTCAATTATTTAGTTCAATTAGTGATACTTATATGTAAGAATTCAATTGTTTCGAATACTTCCATCAGTTAATTCCTTAAGTACTTGCTGTCCATCTAATCAAAGAAATCCGTTTCAGCTGCCGAACACAACTGTTTTTGTGCACGGTGTAGAACAAATTGCCGATAGCGACGTTAGAGCGATACCGCAGACCGCTTTGCTACGTTTCCAAGAAATCGGCGTCAAAATCGAACACGCTATGGGGACAATCCTAATTCCGATGCTGCTTCAAGTGCGAGCGGCTCGCGACCAGTTCCGTATGCATGCCAATAGGCTCACCAATCTGACGGAGGCCTTGATCAGTAACATCCAATTGAAAACGATTCGCTCGACGAGATCTTTCGAAGATGTCTACGATAGGTTTGGCTACGATCGAAGTGCTATCAACTCTCTTGTCTGTGGCCTCTTGTTTATTGTAAGTCGACAGCTTCAGCACATTATCATTATAGCCAACTTCAATTTGTGTGAGATACGCTGGCTAACATCATATTTTCCACTCCACAGATTGTCTTTCTAATGTTGGTCTCCTTGATGTGCGGATGTTGCGGTAGGAGAGGATCAGGAGCCACATGTTTGCTAATGTAAGTTGATAGGCCCTTTGGGAATTGCGTTAAGGGTATATGCTGAAGACTGTCGCACGTTACTTCAGTTACAGGGTATCTCTTAGTGCAATCATAAGTATGTTAATAATCTCCCTCTCCTTACAGCGCCATAATGTTTATATTCATTGTGTTCTCGTTAATTACACTGGTTGGTCTATTCTACTTTATAATGGGCTTGATTGCATACCAGGGCGCATGCGCCCCAGTACGGGATCTCGATAAGACTGCCGTATTCAAGCACCTGGATGCATCCCTGGACGTTTTTGAACTAATGGAGGAGGAGGAACCAATGTTACATGAACTTGCAGAGCTGAAGATGTCAACGACCATCAATGCCTGCATGGCCAACGAGTCTATATTTGATTTGCTTGTGAAGTATAAACTCTACAATTTGAATCATTTGAGGGACATTGAAGTGATAAAGGAAAAGCCTGAAGATGAGAAAAGGGAGGTCATATTTGATGAAGATCTATCCTCCGTATTTCTATTAACGAAAGAGGAGAGGGAAAAATTCGAGACCATACGCAATGGCGATCTTTCTGAATACAATAGTGTTCTTTACCTAAGCAATATGTGCCGGACTCTAACACCGAATTTAGCCAACTTGGCAACAGGTCTAAGGCAGATACGAGATAGTATAGCATACAATGAAAAATGGGAGGAGTATAATAAATATGCCCGAGCCTCGTTGTCTAACGAAGCTTACCATTTGGATACGTACAACATGGAATGGACCGATAAGATATTAGGTATCATGTCAAATATGAAGAACAAATTATCCCGTATCGATGACCTCATCTTATATGAGAAGCGAAACTTCAGTAACTCAATTAAGGTGCTGGTCGATGCCGTAGTCCGATCTGAAACATTCATCCAGAAACGTGGCACCAAATTCATAGACACGCTCGCTAAAAATCTCACAGATGTGGTCTCTGACCAAATAGATCAATTTAAGGAGGGCCTCATCAACGAATGCACCAAGAATGTGGGTCGTTGCGCTCCACTCGCTTATGTCTATTATCGCGGAGTGGATCAGATCTGTTATCGCCTGGTTGATCCAATGGTAAGTCATTATACACATTTTCATTTCCAGGCGATTCTATCAGCTTAAAAAGGTCTTATTCTTATTATTAATCTTGGTTTTAACTTTTACAGAATGGCTTCTGGGTTGGCTTGCTTCCTGCCGCACTGCTCCTGCTACCCCTATTGATTGTCGCCCACAAACTGATGTGCTTGTGGCGCAGATTACACTCTTATGCAGTGCCGATAGTCATAGTACCCGAGACCGGGTAAGTGACCAAAAATGGGATATACATATATATAGAATGATTTGAAAACTAATTGATTATTATGACCACAGCCCCACGTGTCCCACCTGCTCGGGTCAACCGTATACACCGCCGCCAATTTTCACCTGTAGCGGCGGGCAGCAGGCGAGCTGCGTTTGTCGGGAGATGGAAACCAAGCGTACAGATGGTGGAGCTACCTACAACGATAGCTCCTCGATTGCCACATCTGAACAGAATGTCATTGTTGAGCCAGCCGGCAACCCGGTTGCCGAACCCCAGAACCAGATCCAGTCCCAGTTGCAGACCCCAGCTCAGGCTCAGGCTCCGCCCCAAGAATCCGCAGCTATTAAACCGAAAAATGATTAGAAAAAAAAATGATCGCGCACGGATTGAAAGAATTTTATAACTTCTGCAGAAAACAAGACTATTCAGAGTAAATTTAAGTGTGTTTATATTATACGTACTCGTGTGTCTATATTAGCACGGCTGTAAACCATAAAACATGAACGAAAATAAGATGAGATTGTGTAATATTCGTTTATGTACCACTTAAATCGTTGTTTTTTTCTATTTAACTCAAGATGGAATTGATAAGACCTAATCTGTCTCGAAGAGACATTAAACAGGTTTTCCGCAGCAATCGATGCGAAATGTTTCATGTTTTGCCTTCTTTAACATAGTATAATAGAATATATATGAATAGTATATATTAGAAGGAAAGGATGTATGTTTCAACTGAACTGTAGTTTAATAAGGCTCCAGCCAGGACCGACCTGATAACCCTTAGCAAAGTCCATGCCGCACGACGAATTATATGAATATGAAAAATGAAGGGATTTAGATTAAAAAAATAAAACAATTCAAAATTTTATTACAATTCGGAGAGCATGTACACATTGATTTAACTGTTATTAAATTATTAAAATTTGTATCAGTTTTTATATTTGTAGTCATTTGAGTAGTTTGCGTTTTTTGAATTTTATAGTACTTGTCCTGTTTGGACCGTGAAATGGATGCTCTGAAGAGATAGCAGCAGTATGAAAAGCCAACGTTGTTTTCTCAGTATCAGGTGTATATGGGCTGTAAGGGTGATAATAATAGGATGTTTGTTGGGCTCATTGACGAGCTCGGCTGTGGCACAGGAAGATGAGGACGAAGATTCAAATATTAAAGAAGATTATACAGAAGATTTGTCAACAGAGTTACCAGAACCCAAACCTGTTAACAAGCATGCATCAGCCGTAAGGCACTTTGGTATGCCAAAATATAGAGGCGAATTCATCAGCTCGAAAGAATCATTCAAAGTGGATGAATGGCGTCCTGGCTTCGAGGGCTTGGGCACTATTCATGAGCAGATGGGAGAAAATCATTGGCCCAAACCCATTTTTACCAAGTACGAGTCCACGGTGACATACCAACGTCAAATTATATATCCAAAAATGGGCATGACACCCATCTATAATTTTACGCATTATGTGTTTCAAAATACGTTAAGTGATCCGCCCTACCTTCCCGATGGTAAGCAGGCACGAGAGCTATGCTCTCAGAGATTCTCTATACGAGTTTCCGATTTTTCCTCATAGGGTATGTGGTTACCAGCTCCAGGGATACCTTAATATTGGGTCAGAAAACGGAGATGAACGACTGGCGCGATTTGCTATGGAGGTATTTCCAATACCTCGTCTGGGTTGCCTTTCTGCTACTTTTAATTATAATCATACCATTTATTGGGTAAGTCTATGTGGTCGAAAGATTGATCCATTATGATTAATGGCTTCTATCTTAGTGTCTGCTACTGTTGCTTCTGTTGCTGTCGACGCTGTCCCAAGGGCTGTCCGCCCTGTACGAGAGGTCGAGAGACTCGTTTACGATTTATATATGGAACTCTGCTCTTCCTACTTATCGTTCTACTTGTGTAGGCATTTCAATGATCTCCCCTCGATTCCTGCATTAATTATGACCTTATCCACACAGCTTATCCACTGTCGTTGTTTTCTTGACCAACAAAATGATCGATCGGGGCATGCGCGAGCCGACTCAAGCGATGCGGAGAAGCGCTGAAGATACCTGCAAATATCTTGAAGATATCCGTAGTCATATTTTCCATCTGTTTGGCAACAATTACGAGGAACTCATGAATCAACTCATTTACTTGCTCACCCGTAAGCTCTCACGATTAGCGATCCATGAGAGGTCTCTATCGATGACATTTTGAACTTTCAGATGCGCACCATCACATATTCCTGGATCTGTCCGATAGCTCTGATGCCAGTGGTCTGGAAGAATTGGACCGTATATTCAAGAATATGCGTCATGCGAGAGCGTTAATGAAGGAAGTGAATGCCATGGAGAACGAAATGCGGTACCTCATCTCCCAGCTAAGAGATGGTAATTACCTATGAGAGAATTCACTTCATTGACTCATAATTGCAGTCACTTTGAAAGTCCTGAGGATAATATTCATTTGCATTGCTAGAACTTCTAGATTTTCTTTATTGTTTGTTTTGTTTACTTTTGCAGGAGTTCGAGGCGTTAAACGTGAAGTGACTTACGCCTGTCACATTTCGTCACATCCGAGATGCCTAAATTTTCTACAACGTTCGACGATTGAGTTTATAGACGCGGCGAGTTGTTTGCATATCGATCAGGTGAGTTGAGTAACTCTGAAAATTTATGCGGAAAACACATTCTTAAAATCTCTTCATTTTTCCTTTGTCATCAGTTACCCGATTCGAACATCTACCTAGATGGATTCAGGAATATAATTGATGAGAATTATAATCGAATATCAAAGAATGCTCTATTGCGACTGCAGGCAGTCAAGAACGCTGTTGATGAGCATATGAAAAGGGCGGCACCTCCCATAATACTTAGCTTAAAAAGGGGACGTGACTCACTGCTCTATAAGGCGATTGAGATTCGCACCAAAATCGATACTGTTGTCAACAATTTGTACTTTTCGTCGTTGGGCGCCTCCAGATCCTTTGAGGGCTTCTATAACAGATATGCCAAAAATCGATCGGCTATTAATCTAATTGTCTTCATACTGTTGATGTTGGTAAGCCTAATGCAGATATCTATAATATTTCAAGTGTTCCTTGATGCTCTCTTCAAATCTTTCGTAGATTTCCATCACACTTATCATTGGCCTGATCTGCGGCTGCTTTGCGAGTAAGGCAGCGGGTGCTGTAATTTTGCTATTGTAAGTGAAGAAATTGTTTGTAAATATTAAAACTATCATATATTATATAGTCTTTCGTTCGTTTTTACGGTCGTTCTTTAGATACTAGACTTTACTTCCGAAACTTTTATTTATTGATAGATATCTATTCATTGTGAAATTCTATTTTTCAGTGCTCTCATCTTCATCTTCTGCGTACTGTCCTTTATTCTACTTGTGGGTCTTTTCTATTTTATAATCGGGCTACTGACCTATGGCGGGGCATGTGAGCCTTCTGGATATTTACGTAACCATGAGACTTTCCTAAATGTAGATCGAAAACTGCGACTTTTTCAAATGTACCATGATTCAGAGGACATAAGCACACGACAAGCTTTGATCGCCCTTCAAAGTTGTAGTCCAAATCACACTGTATTTAATGTGCTACAGGATAACTCCATATATGATGTAACTGAATTGACGAAAATTGAAATTTTCAGCGAAGATGACCTTTTGATGCCATCATCTCACGAAGACTTCTCAAGTTTAACACTATTAACTGCAGACGAATTGCACAATTTAAATCAGCTTCTAAATGGAAATTTATCAACGTATCGAAGTCAACTATATACGCAATATTTATGCAGGGGTCTTACGCCCCGTGCTTTGCCTTCTTATGCCCAGGAGTTGAGGTCAATAGTCAAGGATCTCTATTTTGGCTATTACGCGGGTCATTGGAATATACGGGTCGCACTAAATAACGCTGCCATGAGTCTTGATGTTTATCATAATGAATTTGTTGTTCCAATTCTAAATCTTCAAAGATCGATGCGGGATAAGTTGAAAAAAATCGATAAAATGATCTTGTATAATAATAATAATTTTGGCTATAGTATTAAAACTCTGCTTCGAATGGCAATCGATGCAGAAGCGTTTATAAAATCAAAAGGAAAGTATTTCATTTATGAGCTCGCAAAAAACCTGTCTATATTCTGTTCGGAGGAGACGCAACAATTTATCTCAATGATCGAACGTAAATGCGAAAATGAAGTCGGACGTTGTGAACTATTATCTAACATCTATCATCGTAGTGTTGATTTGATCTGTGAAAATCTTATTGATCCAATTGTGAGAATACATTTCTATATATATGAAATAATAATCATTCATTTTTTTTCTATTTGTTTCAGAATGGCTTTTGGGTTGGTGTGTTGTCCGCTGCTTTAATACTCCTACCTCTATTGTTTATTCTGCATCGCCTAATATGCCTATACAAAATATATACCCCTCCAACTGCAGCTACTTTTGTTGGGTATGTAATACCTACAATCGTTATCCGCACTAATAACTTTTCCCAACTTGACATTTTCTTTTCGTGATAGACATTGTCCTGCCTGCATTGTTCGTGCCCCAGGTGGATATTACGCTAACACCCGGATAGCTATTCTCGATAATATGCAAGATTATAATGATCCTCCCTTTGCTGCCACTAAGCAAAAGAAGAAGGACTAATAATGTCTAAACGTTAGTATTCAAACTCAGCGCCAAAGTTTCGTTAAAAATCAAATTTAGAACGAAACGCAACACAACGTAACCGAACTATCGCAGCATCGTTACTAGTGTGCTATCGGTATGGAAATATAGCAAGAGAATTGGATAGTAAGTGAAGTACTTATTTGCGATATAATGGCTTCAATACCTTAGTCAATATTTTTAAAATCAACTGGTTAAGAATTACTCGAATGTATGGACTTTACTCAAAATAAATATAGCAGATATGAGTGTTTTATTTAATATAAGTTCTAATCTTTCGATTACTTCAAAATTTGAAAAGGTGAGAGTCGTTACAATACATATCAAACTATCGTACAAACGATGTACTTGTTGTATCGATATTTAAGGTATAACGATAATCGATAAGTTGTTGCTGATTTTGACAATTCATCATCTCTAGTAGTTGTCGTGGGATACGCGCGTCGAGACGGACGTTCGGCGCCGTCTACGTTCTACTAGAAATTGCGAAAATTGTCGTTGGTTTAATAAAAAAAAGGTGATTTATCCAGTGAACACAATGAAATCCTGAATTAAACTCATTTCCTTTTTATATTATGAAAAGTGTAAAGTGTTGTGAACTCATGAACCGAGACCCACCACCAAATTCGTTTGCTGTGCGCTGTGAAAACAAAGAAAAGAATGTTGTGATGGTAGCAGCAGCAGCCCAGCAGCAGCGGGCGTTGCAATAGATACACACACATTCATACATATGTATATGCACATGCTATATATGCATTTATGCATATATGTGTGTAGTATGAAAAACACGATTGCCAATTGAATGAAATATACTTGAAGCAAAAGAATTATCGAAATTTTCAAATTTTCAATGAAAAGTCTAGAATAGTTTTTATAATTGTAAATCATTCGGTTTTATTGGATTCGCTATTTCGAAATTATTGTTAATTTTTCGTCACGTGCAATTTTGAAATTTCAAAACATTCCAGCCAAAATTTGGTATATTCCCTTACATGCTTTGTGCATACATACAAACATATATACACAGTTGACCCACGCACAGCTGCAATTCCAATTAGAATACGGGGTCGCAGGCCATTGGAAGCTGCGATGCAGCAGACAAAGAAAGGGCGGGGACAAGTGTGTTAGCATGTATGTACATATATAAAAAGTATAAATGTTTAAATGTGTACAACAAATGGAAAATCATGTGTGAAAAAAGTAACGGTGATTATTTGCTTCAAAAGTTTATTCATCATTCCCTTTATTAAAAATTTCCAAGCTAATAAGTGTTGTACAACGTTCAAACAGCTACTGCACAGTTGCACTTGGAGTTGCAGTTGTGTCTCGCGTGTGATTGTTGACCACAAAGTGTTGTTGTATTTCAGTGGCAGTGGCAGACCCCCAAGCACGCACACACTCACACGCGCAAACGTGAAACGTTCTTGGCTTTGTGCATGTGCGTGTGTGTCTGCTTTGCTTGACATTAATGACTAATTGGATTTGGAAGTCGCCGTCGACCAAAAAGATAATACGTATGTATGTATGTGTGTATGCATGTGTATGGCAAAGAAGCTGGGACAAAGGCACATAAAAAATAACCGTTACTATTATTATTGTCTGATTCAGCTTGTTTATTTCAATTGCTCGAGGTACGGCTGCGTGTGCGAGCGAGAGGTCGGGTGTGCGGCCGAGGTGAAGGCAGCGCAATGCGACGGTCTCCTTTATCTCTTTTATTCTGCTTTGTTTTGCAGCGTCAAGTCAGCAGCACGACCCAAAAGCAACAAGCAAAAAAAATTTCTATCCAGTACATGTGTACCGTAAATTTGCTTTAAGAAAGGGTCGACTAAGACGAAGAGAAAAACATAGAAAAGCGCAGTTGAAAAACAATATCTGATTTTAAAATTGCGTGAGAGCTTTTGATACACAGCATTTGCGCAGATACAGATACAGATACATCCCTGACCTGTGTAAAACGCGTGCACACACATACATATGCAAACATATGCTGTATACGTATATATGCATGTTAATGCCATTACCTATATTCCCATGTACAAGCATACTATACATACATATGTATATATGCAGCCTCTATATAGGTGCTCTAGCTGAGGCCGGAGCTCCAATCAAGTGGCCTATGCGCATGTACTATGTATTTATAGCAAGCGACGCCGGCATAGGCATACACTCGCACACAAACGCACACTCTTTCATATATGTACATGTTCGACTCTGTTTTTCGGCAGACTTGCATGACAAATGAAGTTTGAAAGCATATCGAAAAACACAACACTAAATTGAATACTCTTCCCATTGAAAGTTTCAAAGCAATAAAACCTATAAAAAAAGGAAAAACATTTACTTTTGGAACAATATTTTAAATTTAGTAAGTGGGATGTGAGCCCGGGACCTATTGGTTTGTGTGCCAACGCTCTACTCACAGTGTTATGAATGCGACATCCGCGATGTTGAACTATAATTCCCAACTCTAATGTCAAATATTTGCAAATATTGCAAAGCAAACACGCACGCGTCCAAAAATATACAGACAGCGCCTTTATTTTGAGTGAAAGCGGCTTGCACCTAAGAAGTGCGAATCGAACTTATTGAGGTCAACAAAAGTTGTTGTTGGCCGTGCTTTATCTACATAATGCAATGGGATTATTGCAAGTAGCTTGCAAGCAGGTGGCAAATGGTGGTAGTATGCAGGTTCAACTTAGAAGAAAATATAAATATTTAGGTCAGCAGAAGTTTTCGTTAACTCAAATTTTTGTAAATCAATGAGCTAGTTACAGGCAGGTTGCTCGAAGTTTACAAGTAGGTTACAAGCTCGTGTTATCTCATTTTTCCTCTCTCGCTCTCTCGACCCCATTAACTCTATATATGTGTATATAAATATATATATATATATGTTAGCATAAATCTGGAAACTTCAATATGAAATGGATATTCTCATAGACAAACACGCATAGTGGGTAACAGCTAAACAAATGTTATGGAGTATGAAATAGCAGCTGAAAATGTGTGTTTTTATTTTTTATTTGTTTATATAATATATATACATAAAACAAAAACAGAAACAAATGTATAAAGAAGTGGAAAACTGAGCTGCTGGCTGGGCGGAAACTTCGTCTTGCGCTGTTAGCTAGAAAGAAATCTGGCCGGCTGTCATTTGATGAGCTGATATACAATACATATATATGTTTGTATATAAATATATTTATATATTTGAAGAACCGGTATAGTCGTTGGCCAATGAAAACTGGTTTACCGGCCATCTGACTCACCAGCTGGGGCTGCGATAGCAAACAAACACCAAATTTTCGTTGGCTAATCAAAAGCTGACAGAAAGAATCATTTTCAATTGAAATTAAGTGCGAGCGTGCGAGCGAGCCAAACAGCAAACAATGAACGTATATGAATGTAAATTACAATTATGCTCACGCGCGCAGCTTGATAAAGTGTGTGTGTGAGGGAGAGAGAGAGATAAAGAGAGAGTTAAGCAGAAAGAGATGAAAAGCAGACAGGAAGTATCAGTTACACTGGCTGGAAAAGCAGACTAAGCCATGGATTTGCATCGTGGCTATGCATATTTGCCATACTATACCCTAGAATTATATACCATGAGGTAACATGATTCGAGCCTTAAGTGTGTATATAAGTGGATCTTTGACAATAGGAGTTTAATGTTGATGTTTTGCTTAATAAGAAATGCGTAATTCCCATTAGTTCCTAGTTTATTTAGCTGTGTAGTTAGTAGGCGCTATATAGTATAATCTATTCGTATTTGTCAATTATTTAAGTGTGTCGTTCACCGCCAATTAGCTAATCGATCATGTCGTTCAAAAAAAAACTACTGAATTACCCAATACTTCAATAGAATGTTTCGTTCATATGAGCCCACATATATTGTAGATCTTAATGACTAAATAGGTTTACATCTTTATATGATTGAGCAATTCCATCAAGCTTATTTTGCTGTTCGCAGCTTTATTTAATTAAAAGAGTAATAGACTATACATTTTATGCATATATGTATATAAGTATTTCAACACAAGGCCAATACGCTGATATAATATTTCTTATTTAATGTTGTTTTTGTATTGGTAAACAAACTCGACCTACCGACAGTTATTCAATTAAAAAATGTGCTTCTTAGGAATTCCATAATTTACGGTGATAAACAATTCGTCTGCTACGCTCGAAAATGCTTTTAAACAATATATACATATATATATACCCGACATTATCATCGTTGAGCCAATGGGTTATCTCTAAGTTTTTGTATTGCGTCCATTGCTCCAGTTCAACAGCTCCATAAATAAAGAAATAGCAAAAGTGTGCACAAACACTTTCCTTTAAATATTAAGTGGTATCTACTTATAAATACTCGGAGCAGTGTTGCTTAAGCGAAAGGTAAAAACCTGTTAGACTTGGATCTGCTAGATAAACTAGACTCGAACTCAAGAAGTGGGTCGATCGGCTATTCGCTTTGCTTTTCTGCCTTTTCACTGAACGGAATATGCCCGAAAATTAAAAATAGTCCAAGTATATATTAAAATCGGGAACTAATTGAGAATATCTTTTATATTTCAGTAATTTATTTATATTTTTGTTGATTAAGCTCCAAGCATATTTCTATTTGTATATTTAAAAAAAAATCAAATAGCTTAAACTTTGAAGACTAGAAACCTACGTAAATAAAAACAAACTTGCTTGAATATAGCTCTACAATACGGTTCTTGTAGGAAATGTAGGAGAGATAAGTGCTAGGATGCTGATTTATTGTTTGTGTCGAAGTGGAAGGCATAGGATGCTGAGAGAGGAGAGAGAAAAGAAGTGCAGTAAAGGGTATAGAAGTGGGATTAGTGAAAGTACTTGAAGAAAGACGGCCAAGTGGAGAAGCAGAAGAAGAGTGGAGCTAGGGAATCAAATGACTTGATGTCGATGACACTCGGAGAAGCATATAGAAAAGCTTGATTATAAGTGTTACAAGTGCTTTGAGGAAAAGCAACTGGAGCAGCGGCAAATAGAGAAGTATTAGGTAGAGGGAGAAGAGGAGCGGTAAAAAGTGAAAGGAGAACAAACATGATTAGGAGTAAAGCCAAGATAAAGAGC